ATGTATGTATGTATGTATGTATGTATGTATGTATGCATGTATGTATGTATGTATGTATGTATGTATGTATGTATGTATGTATGTATGTATATGGCAAACAGCAAAGTACAAAAGGAAGAAAATACTCGGAAATCCAAGACCGAAAGATACTATCAAACAGGACAAAATGCTGGGACAGACGGCTGTATTGTTTTACACGAGGAAGAAGAGGGTACATTTTCAAAACCAGTTTACGTATCAGTTGCTAAGCCATAAAAGAATTGAATCCCACCAAGAATTTCCCCTTACCACCTGGAGCGATAAACCGATAACCGCATCATTTTATGCTTTGGTTGCCCAACTCCCGGTCTGATTCACATCAAACAACAACAACAACAACAACAACAACAACAACAACAACAACTGATTTGTCCAAAATCCTCTGCGGATTGTTAGAATCAACACCGAAGTAGATAGAAGAACTGTAAATCAATGAAACATTGTACCCTTGTTGAAAATATGAGATAAAATAAACTAGGATACATGTTATGGTGCTTGCAGATTTTGCAGATTTCCACATTACAATCCAGCTGATCAGCCGGGAAGCTTTTCTTCTGTGTGATGACTAACAGACGATCTTGATCGATTTGACTGACTATCCTTCGGACTTCACAATCTTCAGTTCACCGATTCAACCATACATTTGGAAGCATTAGACTCAAGTTTCACTCTTATTAGATTTCACCAGTAGTGCTTATCCACCGTCCCGTCCGGGATTTGGATAAGCACTACATCGCATGGAAGGCGTGCGTGTTAACACTGCGCCAACCAGCGCATGCCATGGCTGAACAAACTGTCAATTCATGTTTGTTCAGGTGTTGTCTTTAGTCAGTTCATTTGGCCCGACAGCAACGAACGGGGACACAGATGACAACCGGCTAACTCCAATCGGAAGCCTCCCACCAAGTCAGGACTTCCATGCAGGTTACGGGCTGACTTGCCACATACCTACAAGGCTTGATTGATATCCGAAACTCGAGTCTAGTGCTTCGAGTGCATGTTTGAATAGAGGAATTTAGGATTGTGCGTGAAGGTAAAGGATAGTCAGCCAATTTAATCAATATCAATTATCCCACACACACTGATCACAAGTAACTGTAAGTTGAATACGAAACGTGATATATATTATTTGTAACCCTTAGCGCATTCGGAAGGCAAGTAGCCCGATGGAAAGAGAGGCCTAGGGGGAAACAGGCGGAGTTTTACCTCTGCGAACTGGGCTGGATAGTCCACGTGCTCCCAGTCTTGCTCATCCGAACTGTCTCGCGGTTCATCCATTTGTTGCGCCTCTGTTTGGGGAGAGGTTGATTTCATAGTCAGCCAGGAGGTTAGTCTGGTTGTGTACAAGTGAAAAGCAAAAGTGATGATGAAATCAGTAAATGAACCGGCGAGAGACGGTGCGGAAGTACAATGAAGTAGAAGTAGATGATCCACTGGATAAAACGCTCGTGTTAAACAAATTCACTTTCAACTGAGCAGGAATCGGAACTCCTGAATGTCATCAATCAGGTTAGTTTAGCTTCAAAATTGTTTTGTACCTTGATTCACACGGATTCATCGCATCAGAGTACTTACTCCGTTGCGACTTGATTGAAAAAAAAACTACGTAGCCGATCAATTTTCCTAGTCGCGGGTTTATCTATGTTGAGTAAGAATTGCAACGTGAAATCCGAGCGAAGGAATGTCGTGACTTTGCCTATATATATATATATATGTATATATAGGTATCGATTGAAGATTATTTTAGTGCATTAAAACAAAATAACTCTGGCACGGATGCTATGGATTGCCGCTGAAACTTGAAATAACTACTAAAATTACTACCTTGATTTTATATGATGAGTGATAACCTAGACACATACACCCACGCACACAAACAAAAATTTACACGATCAAAACCGAAGTGTTGGGTCAAAGTGATTGGCCTGGATGTGGTGATGTGCCTTAAAGACCAACACTTACCGTTGCTGGTTTGCTGATAGTTCGTGAGTCAATTGATCCAGCTCGCTCACCAGATTGTCATCACGCCATGCGACAAAATTTGCGGTTGGTAAATGCTCACTGTCACGTGCAATACCCTGCGAATGGATCACATGACGTTCAAATTCTTCACGAAGTTGATGAACCCGTTCGCCCATTTCTTCGATCTCTTTCATACAGTGCTATAAGTACACGGGAAAGACGAGCATGTGTTTATTTGCGTATGTGAAAACAGTCAGAATATCCGACAGTTGACTGTTTTTGTTTGTATGTCTGTATGGATGTTTATTTTGCATGTATGCATTTCACTTATCGGTTCGGTGTGACAGATCGATCTCGTTCATCATCATGATTATCGTTATCATTATCATAACATTGTTATTATTATTATTATTATGATTATAAAAACGCATCACGTGTTACTTCAAAAGAAAGCAAGATCAGATGAGCCTGAACTACTTGGGTAAGGTGTGGATCACGTTTAGCAGGTCACATGCACATATACATATGCACAAACAAACATACAAATACACAGGGAGCAAGAGAACAGGTTGATCAAACTGTCAAAATATTGATCACACGTAAACAATGTGGTTGGGTTTCATTTACTAGGGTGGTAATTGTTAATCAGCACGATCAATTCGAATGCGTTTTAAATAGCGTATTTGTTTTTTGGCGGTATGATAATCTTGTACTCAACTGCAGTACACGGTAACGATCAAATACAACTTCCAGGAGGAAGGAGGTTATAATACGAATTTGAGGGTACAGCAAGCATGAGGAACCACTTGTTTGAAGGTGTAAAAGTTCTACCGGCTGTTCGAAATAAAACGGTCTTTGTTTACCCGTGTATCATTGGTAGAAACTCATTAAAGACTACCGACATAGGAGACAGATAATGAGAAACTACAGTGATAATTGATTTCAGGCACTTATTTTGAATTAAAACAATGGAGGAATTTGGATATTTTTTGTGCCTAATTCAAGTAAGGGATGTACGTCTGTGGAATTATTGAGAAACAGGGTAAACAAGGGCTAAATAATTTATTCAAAGTGACTGACTGCCAGAAACACCTGACAGAAAAAAGAATATCAGGCAATGTAAAAGAGAATATCAAATCTAGTTTACAGGCAAACTTTTTAGTGTGCACACAACCTCTTCCATTTGTCTGACGTCATATGTATCAATTTGCTCCAAACCTTGATGTATTGGATTCACTGGAGGTGAATCCAAAACGCCGACACCATGTGGTGATGTACACAATTATTTCTGAATATAAAAACCAATAAATAGACTTAACCATTTGTTCACTTTGGAATATGTATGATCAAACAGGCAGCAATGGTCGTAACCTACGTTACTTTTCGTTAGTTTTCGTCAAAACGAGGCAATACTATGAGAACTCGATGACCCTGTGCTTTTGATTCAACGTTTTAACTTAAAAAGCAACGGCGTTGTGTCAAAAGCTCATAACTGCTGACGGTAGGTGTCCCGTCCATCGGACAGTAAACTTTATTGGTTGATTGNNNNCCAACGCTAAGACAATGAAGCAAGTGCTCAAGAGAACTCAGTCCAGTCAAGTTAATTCACACGCAAAGTAATTCGTGTCAGTTAGTACTAACTCAACAGATTCTACTAAACTTTGACGATTCCGGTAAAAACTCGAAGGAAATCCACACACACAGTAACATCTTAGCAAGAACCTTTATATACTGATGCCATACCGTAATGGACTGCTTGTTTTGAGGAACAACTGAAAACTAAATGAGTAATTCTGTTCAGTAAAATTGTCTGTTCTCATAATGTTCGTTGTTGAATATCCGTCAAAAGTCTAGAAAGAAGAGGCTAGAGCCGCATAGAATAACAGAACAATTTCAAGTGGAAGATTACAAATAAGGGTCGGTGTTTAACTTGAATATCACTGACTATTTGGCGTGCCTGGTTTGGGATAAGTAGCTACAATGGTGACATTCATTATTTCCAGCCTATACTCTGTATACATTGCAGTGCTGCAGACGACGAAGTCCGCCTACTCCCTATCAACGCGACATTCAGATGCCGGTGTGACTTTCCAAGGCATCGATTTAATATCACAGTAACCATAGAACACCTCGAAAAAGACAACACCTTGCTCAACGCACCAGTGAATGGCTCACAAGACACGTTAAAGAGTTACTTAATATTACCATGTCAGACAACAAAGTGGGACGAAAATTCAAACCCGCCAAAAAGTAGGTTCGAAAAATTAACTGGGAACATACATAGAAACGGGCTTTTTAACCGCAAAGATCACGAAGCATGGCACCGTTTGAAAAAAAATGAGCTTTATCATAGTAAAAATAATGAGTCAGTGAAAATCAGAATCATTGTCATCGATAGAGGAAGCAACATAGAACGTTTGTACGTATGCGTCACAGAACTAGAGGTAAAGCGTGAATCAGTCACAGTAACGTTGCAGAACGCATACAAACTTAGCCGCTCCAAATGATGAACAGTACAGTTTATTATTATAACGTTCACAAGCTCCTTCTGCTGACTGTCGGGGCTCACTCCTGCTACTACACACACAAAAGCGGATCATATTTAGCTTTAACCCACTCATATACCATGCAGTACATTCCTCCATTGCTTGTAACACACCTGTTCGCAGACAAAACAAGAAGTTAACTGTTGGTGAACGAAACCACAAGTTGTGCGAGCCAGAAACTTATAGAAGAAACCTATAGAGTTTGCATGATGTTTTTGATGTGCAACACCATTGGTAAGAAACACGAATATATCAAAGTAGACGAAAGCAGTCCAAAAAGTTATCTGTCCGGCAGAAATGTGACGTCACCGAACGAATGGGTGATATGGTCCTGGTTTAGGTAATCAGGCGAATATAATTATCTTGGGTTCAGATCTCCAGGGAAAGTCGATCTGCTATGCAACTGCATCTCAATGAACTTTGGTCTTCTGAAAAACTGACTGCGACGTTTCAAAGACTGCCACAACATTTGCGAAGGAACGTGGGGTGAAGAATCGGAAAGTTAGGTGAAGGTGAGGGCAAAAAGTTGGGCTCAACACATTAAGGAGATGCTAGCTATTTGTGTGTTCTGTGGTAGTTCCGCAATATCATCGAGATAAACTGCGTCAACGTTCTTCCAACACACAGAACTCGATATACTCTCCCCAGGAATCAAGTCAATGTCAGATCCCCTATTAGCAGATCGCATTTTTTATCCTAAAAGGTGTCATGACTTTCCTTTTGGAATAGAAGAAATGTCGGAAGATGTTTTACAACAACCATGTCGTCTTTAGGACATATAACCCCAAGTGTATGCGCTTTGGTTTATTATTAGGGTTACACCAATAATAGCTCAGTACACATCTATTAGACTAACATCTGAGCACCTGATGCATTTTGCTTATGGGACAGAAAATGCAAACAAAACGAAATTTCGAATGTTCTCCATCCCACGTTTGTGGTTTTCACCTCCGAATTCGGTGGGAGTGTAGCGCTCAGGGCATGGTTGCGTCAATAGTCCCAGACTTACATGAATCTGTCTGCTCAGTTCGCAGTCCCGTTGACTGGCGGAATGGAATTCAAACTGCGAGCCCATGGATTCAACTGGTGCTTGTGTTTCGCTGATCTGGGATTTCCACATCACAGGTTCGGTGACCAGGACACGCTGCATGATCTGATTGAGCTCGGCAATGCGTGACTTCAGGTCGTTCAATTGCTGTTGAGTCGCCTCTTGCGAATAGGATTGCAGTAGCCAGTTACGAGCCTGGTCAGTGAACTGAACCCACTGCATTTGAAGATCTTTCAGCTCGGGACAATTTAACCATTCAGATGATGATAAGTCGGATGGTGAATCTGTAGATGGAAGATTTTGCAATTTGTCTAACATGTACACAGGTATCTAGAGCTCGTTAAACAAAATTATATATCCATAAAGATGAATGACCAATCGTATTCTGAGCCTCAAACAACAAAGATGTGAAATAACGAAAACATGTTGCCGCATTTTATCAAGTAGCCAACTACGGAAGCCATTTTCGTCGAGCAGGAAAAAAACGTTTAAATAGCTATCAATTATTATTCAATAAGGAAGTGAATACGTTGTTCAGCTAACATTAGTTTTAAAGTCAACCTCCATGAGAATGTCACGAGTGAATATTACATCCGACCACCATGGTAAACATTGACAATGCGTACCATTAAAATAGGTGCTTGATACAAACTGTAGATTTTTACGGGTAAAAATACTCATAAATTACTAGCCTAACTGTTACGAGAAACAAGGTGCAGAGTGTTTCGTAGCAGTAGGATAGATCATCCGATTGTTAGAATTCGCTGATTCATTGATAACATTAAATGTGAGAAAGCGTGAATATATCTTAGAGATAAACTATCATAGCTAACGTAACACCAATAAAAAAATTTTTGTCATTGATATCTTTGATTTACTTAATCACTATGATGACCTGCTGCAGGTAATGAGAGACAAAACGCCCATGGTGGTCAAGCATGAAAACCCTGACCACGAAACCCGGTTTTATAGCTAGCGTAAGGATTACCGAACGGGTAGGTTTAGATAAGTCTGTGATATGGCCTTGGGCCATAAACAGTGGCGCTGGTGCGTCTAATCAATATCGTTGCAAATACGTTTAGGTGAATTCCCCATAATCACTTTGACGCCACTTCCGATATTCCAATCTTTCCTCTATTTCCTCAATCAAAAAGACAGTAACCGAGACCGGCGCATGGAAGTGCAAGTTTAGTAATCGCATTAAGTGAAAACATAATCCTCACTCGGCTTAGAGAAACCACTAACACAGACACTTGAAATCGATATGCAGAACAATACAAAATTCCAAATTTATACGCATGGTGTGGAACTTGCAGACATTAGAGGTTCCTATCCAAAAACTTATTCACTATTTGTGTGGCTCAAACTTTAAATATAATGGACTTGTGCAAACCGGTGCACACTAAAATAAAAAAGATGATATAAATACCAAACGACCCGAATTTTGAGATCACAGTATACCTATTTAGTGAGTTGATTTAGAATTCTAAGACTGGTAAACTGATGTTATTTGCGTGAGACATTAGGGCTCTTGAAAGGGGTTCTGCCGATGGTATTCAGTGAGGGGCATATTTGGAAGCAAAATAGAGTTTACCCAAATGGATTTGGGTTTCTACACACCGCCCGATTGCCTTGCGGATCAGACTTCGTCTTGTCAAAAGTTCCGGTTGTGGATTCCCCAAGAAAATTCACCTGCCTTGGCCTGGGCAACCTGCCACTATTCCGCCCACAAACAAATCATGGAACTTTCCATTTCTTTAAAACAATGACTTATTGTACTACGATTTTTTTGGCTCACAGTGTGGTTTCAGACCCGTGTGAAGTATACACAATAAAAAAGAATTAAGCTTTTTGCTTCCAAGCACCGAGGATACGGAACCGTGTATGAAAATAAACCACAATGGTGTAATTGTCATTGTTCTATCGATATAAATGGCTAAAGATAGAACCCATTGGTTTTCCAGTCCATGGTAAAGGAATGCGGAATGTTTCTTTGCATCCGTTCTCACTGAGATTCGTTCACTTGTATTGGAGAGGTTTCAACCGGATTCAAAGGTTTGACTGCAGAATCAAGCTGTACGTCCGAAAGAGAAACCTACCAGAAGCCGTCTCAATTCAGGGAAATATACACGGAGTAGGGTATTGCCAATTAAAGAAGCGGTTTTGGTTTTGTACTTTCAGTCTTGAAGCTTAGGTCCCCGGTTCCCGCAAATGACAGTGCGTTTCGTTCCATTTTGCTGTTCACCACATTCGGGTGTTTTCAAAAGACGTGGTCATGACGCAACACCTGATCGCCTCGGATCAAATGTCTCCGTATCTTCACATTCATAGTATGCAATCCCATTCCTTGTGGCAGCAAAGTTCTAAACATTGTGACTCAGTAATAAGCACATTCGGTATAACCTAACTTATGAACCAGAAATACGTTTTTCCCGAGTTGATAGAGGATACGAATTGGTAAGTCAGTAGGGGAAAATAGAGTGGCTTCAAACTCCACTTAAGGACACGAGATGTAGACAGAACCTTTATCACGTGAAATTCAATTCATCTTATTCAGTAAACGTCAAGGAGGATTTGGTTTGTGTATATGGTGAATTTCGTTGTTTAAAGAGTAAATGAAATGCAAACTGAAAAGCGATGAGTAACTGGACAGTTGTTTCAACTTCTCATCAGCAGTGCGAATCTAGCTGGGCATCAAACCCGGGACCTTACAGACAGAGTGAAAGCATGTTACCAACTCAGCCATCGGGAAGTGATTGGACCGTTTTTCAATTTGTCTATTGACAATATAGTACAACCCATCTTTTCGAACTTAATATAGGCGTCGCACTTAGAGCATGTAGTCACAGGCCTCCTGATAGTATACTTGCGTTCTGCCTATGAGGCCTCGGGTTTCATCCTCAGTTCGATTCGTACTGCTGATGAGACCCAACCAGGTCGAAACAACTGTAGAGTGCTTCCTCGTTTTTCAGTTCGCGCTTCATTTGCTCTTTACACGACGAAAATCAACAAATAAATTTCAATGTTTTGCGTGAAACATGCGTTTGGTTTAGGGTCTGCACGCATTATTTCAGACGTATCGTGTTTCAGGGATTCAAATAAAGCACCAATTACTTTGAGGAATTTGTGAAGAAATATAGCAATACCTCAGTGTTTACCCAGATGTCTCGTAATATACAGTGACTGGTATGAATCAGTTGATTGTCAGACTCACTGATGTACGCATGTGAGTATAGTTTCCAATTTGATAACGGATAATTTGTATGTTTTTGTTCTAGAAACATTTTATCATTCTTAATGATAGACTGTATCGCACCTTTCTTGCAATTTTAATGTGTCTGATAAATTAACTTTTAACGAATGGAATCGAATTTCAAATTTTAGCCAAGAATAATGAAATCATCTTCGTTCAGTCGTAAACAGCGAGGAGATACGGAGATACGAACAAACTGAGTAGAGCATTTTCACTTGGGAAGTTCAGACCCTCTTTTCGATCTTGTTTTTCGACTAGATGTGCGAAATTATTCTGAAATAAAATTCAGATGATGCAGTTGTTAAGCACGAATACATGTCTTTTGCATTGTACTGTGTATAACTTTTGCAAGCACTGGAGCTCATATTTCAATTGAAAGATCAGCCGTCACAAGATACATATTCAATGGGGAGAAAATTCTTACAGACATGGGGACATTTCATAATCCAAGGCTAAGACGAAGTTCACTCATTGCCTTCTCTTTGTTTGTGAGCAAACGCGCAAGATAGGGTATAGGTGAATTTTGGTAAGCGTTAATTCGAGATGAAATTTGGCGGAATTGGGAGCGTATTGAATGATGGGAACGACAACGTGTCAGTTCTGTGTGCAATGGGTAGTCAGGATCTGTGATAATCCTATTCACAAATGTCACACAGGAAGTTGTGATACTCTGAACGCTTTAAAGCTAACTCATTCACAGGAATGGAAGAGACGCGAATGAAGCTGAGAATCCATCCATTAGGATGAATAAAGCGAGTTTTGACTTGACGTGACTTAATAATAGTTAGACCACGGCGTAAGCCTTTGAAATCCTGTTTGAGTAAACCAGGAGAAATAACTGGGGGAACAGGACAGTGGGAAACTGGAGTCACACAAACCGATTAACCATCAAAATATGTCCGGGCACGTTGGAGACAAATCATATGATCTCAAGAGTCAAGACGACGTATGGTATTGAGTGAAAATGTGAAATTTTCAACAGTGTGACGGAGAGCGTGTAAATGTAGCGCAATCAATCGAAGGGCGCGCGGAAAGCAATCTTTACCGTGATTTCTTTCTAAAAGCCGGAGGCTGACAGACGGTTGAGCATGAATGCATAATTTAGTGTCCCTGTGTCCGTCAATGTTGTTGTCAATCATGAAAGCTGATCAGTGGAACATGAGTAGACATGCATCATTTACCAACACCGTGCAGTTCATCTCGCCTCCCCAGTTCAGACTGCACATTACCGAGCAGTATTGAGGTCAAGCTTCTGTCCAGAACAGTGGCAGACAGTCTACAACTGTGTAGCGGAGTTGTGAATCTCTTCCGCAATGCTGCAGTTTTTAGTTTGTTTGACCCTTCGGATGTAGTATTAGGGAGGTGTGCAACCGATATCCTCACTCTCCTCATGCGTTAATTTCCAATGACTCTCACAAAACCCTGCTTTGCACATTAAAGTTTAACAAAGACCAAGTGAAGTACTTCAAGAATAGCAGGGAATATTGTTCAAAATACTGAACCAAACAAAGCATTAAGGGCAGCATGTCCATACCCACAGAGACAGTGAAGCTGATTTATGCAAAAAATAAACTCAACGGACTGGTTTGTCAGTGGCCTCAACTCGAAGCTCAGAATCATCACATTTGACGATTACTAGACGATACTCACTGCAAAGAATAGCGTATTGCACAGTGGGACAAACAGAATATTCTCTCTCTATCGAGGCTCAAATAAGTTTTATCTAGGCTTACACACAGTCGCATCGATATCACTGGAGGTAGGGAGTTTTATCGATCGAATCTGTGTGATACGCCCGTACTAAGCAGTTGAGAAGCTTGCCCACCCTTTTGACTACATCAGAGGTTTCTTTACGACTATAATATGCTACCGCTAGTTTGACTAATGCCCTCAATCGTTTCACTTTATCTCATTATCTGGACAGAGGGTGTTTACTTTTGTTGATGTTTGATAAAAGCTCATTTTCTGCCGTAGCGAGTCTATCAAAGGTTGTGTTTGTCTGATACAGTTAAACAGTTAGCGGTACTATTTTGGTCTTGGACACATAAAAACAATCTGTTTGACCATCTTCTTTTCATGGAAAATTATTGTAAACCCAAACTGATCATTTAAAAAGAAACTCAGTACACATAAAGACAGGCGTTGTGGCTTGGCCTAGATGATTTCACGGATACACATAGTTCAGCATTGGGGTAGTGTTCGCCTTTGAGAGTGGCCAACAAGTTAGGTTTTCGTTGTGCTTAATCTAGCAAATACACCACGATATATATATATATATATATATATATATATATATATATATATATATATANAAAAATTCACAAATGACTGAAAGCCAGCTTGATTGTCATCCTGTATTTTATTGTCAACGAGCCTCTTCAAACAGGCAAAATAAGCCCGAATTAGACGTAAACAACGATCAGCGATATAGAATGTCTACTTTTCCTTGAGAATGAAAATGTCTGGCGGACAGTCCACAAAAATGAAAGAGGGAGACACGGTACATTTTCATTGTTGCGTTCCAAAATCTGCATCACAATTCGCCGTCGCTCAGGCGAACTCAAAACACTATTATGCAACCGATAAGTTAGTGTAAATAGCACCGCTGGCGACCTCATAAGGTGCAAGTACTAATGCACAAACACAAGTGCTTACGCGGTATTGGGCTCGTCTTGTGCCTCGCACTTTGGAGTAGTACAGCAATGAAAGTATTGTGGTTTATTCAACTTTACTCCACCCAGGTGGCGAGGTTTGATTAACAGAACAGTAGAGAAACAATCTTGATGTAATTTCGTTTTCTTGACGAGGTCACACTGCGCACAAGTCCACGACCAGGTCCTTTGATCACGCCTAAACTGTATGGATTGCGGCTGTACATACTTGTTTGATTGCTCATGGAGTCTGTAATTATTTTCTCCATTCCTGATCATCCAGGAGATAATTGGAGCCTACTTCGAGAGCAGTGAAAATACTGGGTGAACAGTATATTTGTTCGAAGTCGCCCATGTCAAAAAAAATCTGGGTTGATCATGGATGGCCGTGTGGGTTTGTATAGACCGGGAGCAGAGATCATCCATGGTCGGAGGTCATTGAACAGATTCAGAGACACTCGATTGTAGGAATTTTAAATAGATTACAGTAATTTTCCTAGCCAAACAATCCTCAAAATACTATCACTGCATTGTCTCAGAATTAATCTTTTTAACAAACTATTAAACGGTGAGCTGCAGTGCGCAGCCCAATTGCAGCGCTAACTGAAAAGATAAGGAATATGACATAGGTGTTTTGACTTGGTTGGATCTCATCTTCTGTGTACACGAAGAAATTTGTCATACAAATCATACCCCATTACTTTTATGTAATCTTTCAGCTAGCCCCGGGATAACCAAGATGTGTTACCCAAAACAAATTTGCAAAGATGAGTTGTGCTATATCATGTATAGGCACACCGAAAAACGGTCTAATGAACAGATCACGTGGGCAATATGCTTACTTTCTATCTGTGAAATGTCGACTTCGATCCTCAATGGTAGATGGATTTGTACTGCCGATCAGGCCCAACCCAGTTCAAACCGCTGTACGGTTTCATGTTGTATTTCCTCTGTACAAGATAAACTTCACAATATAAGCGCACCTAATCCTCGAATTCTCCTGTTTAACAAATTATTCCCTTTGCGTCCTGCATAAGACTAACATGACAAATAAGCTCACTAATTATGAGATACTAGTTATGAAACAGCACTTTTGTTGCAAATGTTTTGCAGCACTGCTTTATGAAAAGTGGTCGCACAAGTGTTTTTTTATTAAGTGAAAGGCTACTATTGATGTGACGTGCATAAAAGCATCGGATTGAAATATATGCATGTTTTATAACAAGTAGTATATGAATTGCTCGTCGAAATTTACCTGGAAGCACATGAGCGGTTTTGCGGTTTCTACCGCTCGTCAGACACGCGTATCCAGTGATCTTTTGTCACTTCATTCATAGCCTTGTACCCAAGATGTGTATTTTGTCACAATAAACTCATTTACAACACCGGATAGATTTGTTTGGACAGCTCTTTCAGAACCAGTGCATCGAAAAATTATATGTATATATATATCCCGTGTAATGAAATCGCAAGTGATTGGGTGATGCACATCCCCTAAAACAGAGTTCCCTCTTTCCTTCTCTTTTATGTAGGGAGTCTGATTCAGTTGACAGTAGTAGTTATCATGGTGGTAGTATCGGCAGCCGTGTTTCCGACTAATCCTAAGGGGAAGAAAAGGTTTTTACATACGTGATCACGCGCATTGCCGGCTTCCAACATTCCGGAAGGAGCAGATCTCAGGGAAGTTCGCACACAACAGTCAAGCTGTGCTGACACGTGAACCGCTTGAAGAGAAACAAAACACGGATGCTTCTGATTTTCAGCCGCCTCGCTGCATTTTTAAAGCCGGAGTCACATGAAGCACACTCTTTGTGGATGTTTCCATTGATCACGTGAATTCTTTGAGGCAGAGCAATGCCTTCGTGTTAGCGACGTTAGAGCTAATCAGGGCAATCCTGCGTCACTCCTAAATATGCATGTTTGAACGAACTACATGCAAGAAGCAACATCATTTAAAACAGGCTCACTAAAATTCCTCAACTGCATAAGGAACCTCCAGTTTGGCAAGGAGTTGCTCTGATGATGATAACGATCAAAGTCAGATATCCAAGTTATACTCCACTAATTGGACGCCCATGTATCAAAAATCTTGTCGCTCTTTGGTGACGGTAAGTCATTGCTCGGCTGTGGAGCTGAAGAAGCTTCTGTGAAGCAAACTGCGGCATGCATTCACAAATGTTTCATCAATTTTCCTTAATCTGAATGAGACTTCCTAATTATGTGAGTGCTGATGCACATCGAACAGCTTCCCGGGAAACTTTTCCTACTGTGCAATGTTACTTGCCAAGAAAATGGCTATACTGCACTGTTTACGCAGATAAGCTTTAAAGATTATCTAAGAAACCATGAGTCCAGTGTTCTCCTGACAAATTCTATACATTTTTCATTTCAGTAAATTCATGCTTCGATAACAACCGCAAATTCAAATCCGGGTCTATGTGCCTGAACATCAGTTCACATGCGTGACAGCTTTACTGGGCTTGTCTTGAAAGATGTCTATTTAGACTGCGAGGTAATTGTGGTTTAGCCCTCAAAGATACTGCACCAAACAAGCGGCAATCTGAACGACTGGGTTAGCTGCAGAATCTCGTGAGTCATCACGAAAAGTTATGTTTCAAGCCAACAGATCAAATAATTTGTGGGGTATGCACTTGTTAACCATTTGTGCTTATCACGTGTACTCACGGACTCTTTTTATAAAACAGACAACTACTAGCACATGAATCTAATTCCGTCCCAATTGCATATCTGAGAGAGATTGCATAAAGAACAAGCCCCAAACCATAACTATGGACCAACCTAAGCACCTTTAGTTAATAACCGGTGGCTAGGATACGGGCAGAAGTCACATTCGAAAGGTTATTACAGGCGGGAATCTATGTCCCACTGTCCATTCATGAAACCTGAGTTAACTTCTATATAGTAAATAGACAAAAAATAGCAAGGGAGTTGATCAAATTGGGCTGAATATAATTGGCCACTTCGGGCAAAAAACTGCCGTCAAATGAAAACCGCTTGTCGGCATACTCGCCAGCACTTAGACTCAGGTCATCTTCTCATTGTTTCATGCACTGAATATCATGAGGGGGTGGGGTGGGATGGATTACGATAAGCAACTTACGTTTATGTGAGCATTCAGATGAACAGATCACAGAGCCCAGTGTGTGATCGGTGAGCAGTTGGAGATTCGCCTCAGCCAAATGAGTCACATGGGAGAGACTATTCTGCCAGTGGGATAAAGTCATCTCTTCACAAGTAACGGAACCTGAATATGTCCGAAGAAATCCGGAGAAAACAAAATTTCGGTTTCCATGTGTTTGCGTGTATGTACGTAGAGAAAATCACAGTTCATCAAGAACGGAATCCCAAAGGGTCGGAACAAAACAAACACTCAACATTGATCAGAACTCACAAAAATACCAAGGACAAAAATACTGCAGATGGGACAGAGGTGGGCACAAAACTGAACTAAATGAACGAGTCGAACGGTAACGAATTCAATAACAAAGAAATTTTCGAGTAAAATGCTATTTTGGGCCAATAGTGATATTTTTCTAGCCAAAATGTGTATCCAGGTAGGGCTGATCAAAACAATGATGAAAGAAAAATCTCAGGTAAGGTGACCTTGGGTCGACAGGGCAGGCACTGAATAACACAAAAAAGTCCGGGTAAAAATTGGTAGCCACGCTTAAATTGAGCCCATCAGCATCGAATGGGAACTATGTAATACAGACATGAAGCTGTAATTTCATCGAAACTTAGTTCCTCATATTAGGATTTTTCCGCATGAATGATGTAATGTGATAGTCTCAAAAACTGCAGATGCACATAAAGATTAAATTCCGCCTTTTGAGTTTCTTTGAAACGTTGTTGTTGCATTTTCTGTGCCACGTAAAACCACTGTGAGAGGTTTGTAACAAAATGAAGATGTGGACATGAATCATTTCGATTTACATAAGCAGTACATAACAGATGAAATGAGAGTAAATATAGGTTATTTTAGCATAAACGGCCTGTGTAGCTACATTCTTGGATCCAGAAAGTTAGAAACATCCTAAAAAATTTGGATAAAACTCAACCAAGCTCTATAAGCAGAGTGGAAACAAGGGATTTAATAAAAGTGAGTGAGCAATTCTGCCCGTGTAAAAGTTGAACAGAACGAGTTGCATGCTGGTATAAAGACTCATGTTATAGTAACGAAGATTACCAACATTTTCTGTTCGTTGATGCTGCTACTGATGACGTTGGTGATGATAATCAAGAGGCACACGGTGATGTCAATTGAGTACACTGGTACTTCACGTCAAAGGATCAAACGCTGCCACAGAAGTCAAACTCTGACAGTAATTAACTTCACCGTTTGACACTGAAACTTAGGTGTGTAGCACTTAAAGTAGTACTTGAGAGCCTGTGTCAGTGGATTCCATAACTGGAAAATCAATCCTTGGGTTAGGGATGGTGCAGTCACTTAGTCGCTGTTACCGGCATGCTTCGGCCCCTATGGTCCGAGCTTCGAAGCCCGCCACCACCACCCAACTTTGATGGTAGGCCGCTTTCATCATCCAGTTCAATTCCACATCTAAACTAAACTCGAAACCTCGGGGCTCAAGTTGCCGGTTTCCATCACTGTATAGCTGGTCTTTGGAACTATGGAGTCCACCCGTCTGTTGTTCATCACACAAAATGTATGTAATAAAATCTCCCCTCCTTCTACTTTTATCACACTAATACGTACAATAACCAATTCCCATGGAAATAATTAGCAAGAAAACACAACAATGACAATTAAATCTTGACAAACTGTTTTTTACGATTGATTGTAGCCATATCAAAACGCGTACAGTATTTTCTAATAGTCTGAAAACGGATTGGGACTAAGTTACTGAAAATAATGGTTTCCTCCAGTAGTGTTGTTCTAACCATTGTGATGAGTATTGATCAAGAAAACCAAATTCATCGGCCACTGGTACGTTATTCGATCTGGTGTAACACCTTGCTGGATTTCTTACATGTAACCTTCTGCTTCAGACAGACACACATAAACAAACGTACATACATACGATAATTTCTATTCTCAAGTACTACGGACAACATTCCAGTGGTACGATATGCAAACAGCAACTTAACCACAAGTAAAGGCATTATGCGCTATGAGCAGATAAAAGAAGTGGTAAAATCAGGTTATGACTGCAACACGCTGGGGAAAAAAATCACGTAGACGAAGATAACTGACCGGCATCTTTGATCTTGCCCGGGTTGATTTGCATCAACCGACTGAACAGGGTACGCAGTTCCAACAATCGTTGTCTGGAAAAACGTAAAATATCCAATCGTGGTCCTCGGTCACTCCAGTGAGACAATTCGTCTAAACTGGCTGTGGCAGACAATCGGTTTCGCTGGCTCACATCAGTTGTACACGCTTCACATGCGAGCAGTTGTTGCCTCCGCTTGCGTTTAGCCGAAGCCCGAGGAAGGGTTTGACATTTACGGTGATCCGTCAGATAGGGATTGAAATAGTTGTGTTTAGTTTCCACGTTCTGAAGAGGTTGCTGTTCCGGACCAATCGTCGGTAATCGTACCAGGAAATGCGATTCTAACATCGAGATGCATGATGCTGTGTGACGCATTTGGTTTTCCAAGGCATGTAGCTACCAAAAGCAGAAGAAACACATACATAGGNTAATGCGAAGAAAGATTTGAGAAACGCACACCAAAGAAGCATACCCAATGAGCCCATGGAACCCGCCCCCCTGTTTCTTGGAACTGTTATTTATTCACCTAGACAGTCATTACTGTGTCAACAATAAAAATAAACCATTGTGTCATTTTCTTTGGGTTAGTAACACCTAATTCTTTCCTGTTGGGTCTCATCAGCAGTGATTGCTCTTTCGTGCTCCTCTCGAGACACGGATCACGAAATTCTGGCAAGGGGAAGAGCGAGACTTCTTCCCTCGAGTTGCATAAGGCAGTCTCCTACTCGACTGCAAGAATTACATGAGAAGTTATTCGCTAAAGTCCATACGAAGTCACAGGCTCTGGGGTTTGGGAATTTGGACGAACTTCACACGATAATCTGTCATTTAATAACAATTATTTGATAAAGTCGTCAGATTCCTCCTAACGACTCTAGAAGGGTTTATCGACAGAATAATTACTGGAGACACACATAACACCTACGGTGTGAGATACATGCTTTGTTTTTCATTTACTTGTTCTTCATTCGCTTCATTGTGCATGACTGTGATTATTGTTTAGAGATACGCATTGTGATGTGGTTGAACTTAGATTAAGTTTAGTGGGTTCATATATAAGTTGCTCATCTTGACCGCTGTGAAGTAGAAGATTCCTTTGAAATCAACTGGGGAAAAGTTGGCTGAGAAACATTGAACTGGTGGATAATTTATTTGAGAGTATTGCCGAACCAAAACAAACCAGACAGCAATGCAATGTACTAAGTGAGACTGTGCATGAGCTACCGCTATCTACCTGCCATTCCAGTTCAACATTTATCCTATTTGCAGTTTAATTCATTTTTGCTGGTGTGCGTGCTAAGTGAACAGGAATCAGTGACGTTAGCCTTGCTATCCTGCTGATCACGAGGTCCTAGTCTGGTTTGAACATTTGTTTCATTACTTTTTCAAAAACTCAGATCTGCAGGAAATCAATTGATCCGTGGAAAGATATGTCACAGAGAAGTTCCATACTCAGCCTTTATCCTATCACGATCAATACCGACAGCACTGTGTAAATTCTATTTTTTAACCTGTGTAAACATTAAGTTCCTCAGTGACTATCGTTTAATTCAATTTCTGGTTTATTTGGGTCCGGATTGTGTAAAACAAATCATGGTACAAGGGTATTATGACCATGGCTTTTTCACAGGAACGATTGGTCCGAATTGCTCAAGCTGAGACAGACGATTAGCTCATGGATTCCAAAACGGAGCCTCGGATCAGCAGAACCCCGAATCATAATGCAGTGAGACTTTGATAATCTCAGTGAAGCGTTTTGAGCTCAAAGAGATTACAGCTCAGGTAGCTTACCATCGGTTGCGAATCTCAGCTGACTCTCCTGAACCTTATTTGGTAATACTCCAAAAGCCTCAGTATGGTGCGCGAGGGGGATGTATTGGGTTGTGGCTAGTCCCGCTTCCCTTGCACCTTGCGAAATGTTGCCATACGTTCAAGCGTCCCAAACAGCCTCTGCTGTACCCGCTACCTTTTCGT